CCTGTCAGGTAACACAACAGGACTCTGTTAAGCCACAATTTCCTTCTCATCCAAAAGATACCACCCCAGTTGGCAGGCACCGGGAAACACACAGGACAAGAAGGAAAGGCATTTTGGTGCTTCCTGGAAGTTTCCAGGGAAGAAACTGTACCTTCTAGAGCATTTTACACCCAAAAGCCAGACTCTGAAAGATGCTGGTGTTTTTATGTGCTGAGATTGATGTCTGAGAAGAGTGGGTTCTCCATGATCAGAAGAGCAACTGGAGAGAGCTGGAGCAATGGTTTACAGCCTGACTCCCAGTCCCAGGCACTTAAGAGCAACAATGCACTGTTTGCACCATCTTTTTTGCCTAATGCAAATGAGTCCCTCAGACACTCATGTTTGATTTGTCTTTCAGATGCAGAGATACCACAAGCATTTCTTTCCACTGCAAGGTTTTGGTTTGGAAACTCTGTCCATCAGTTTATTCATTACAGTGATTTTAAATTAACTGGCTTGTGTCCCAAACATTTAATAAATGACCCATCTTATAAACATGCTTATTAATCCATCATGCTTATAAGCACTGCGGATTACTATGGTCTTGGTGAACTGTCAGTACCCAAACATTCCAAAGATTTGCTAACCTGTGGAGTGGTGAGGACTTCTTGTTCCTGGGGTGATCCAACCTTGCCAATCAGAAAGATTCCACTGTTAGCAAAAGCAGCCACACTTCAGAGCCTCAAGCATTGCAATGCAAACCCTACCTCAAAATGCATTTCAACCAGGCTACAAAACACACCAGGGCCACCCACCCACCCACCCACCCAGGGAACTGGCTGCTCTATAGGTGGCCTGGCTCAGCCTGTCAGTGCATCAGGGAAATGAACAGAAGTGAGGTACAAGAGGGTTTTCCAAGGCCTCCCAGTTTCACATTTAGTATAACTCTGGATTTTAATTCATAGGGGGAAAAAAAAGAACATGAGATAAAACTATGCAATTTGTTTCTAGTTTGGTTTCTCAATTGTGCTTGAATCTTAGATCCTTCTCACAGGAACAGACTGGGGCAGAGACTTCACTTCACCATCCACCCACTGTGACCAACCTGCACATCTCTGACTCTAGGTAAGAATTCAGGGAAGAACTCTCTAACAGAAAAGGGAAGATCATTCCTCATCATAACTTGACAAAAAAGGGCTTCCTGACCTGACCTCACCAAGGACCAGAGACCCAGATGCATGCTGAGGTATTGCAAACTCATGCATTTTGGTGCACCACCTCAAACACACCACTGCAGCATGAGAGAGCAGATGCAAGCCCAGGATGGCATCTCTTTACCACTGTGTGTTACAAAAACTACCCCAAATCTACCTGTTTCTACACCACCACCCCTTCATTTTGCTAAGCTGAACAGCCCTAGTGCAGGCAGAGAATTCCAAGAGTACGAAACACAGAGCCACTCAAGCCACTTACACTAGCAAAATCAAACTATCAACACTAACCCTGTTAACTGTGTGTTCAGTCTTTCTCATCAGCACCAGCTTTCGAGGCCACAGCAGATCTCTACCCCACAGCAACAGATTGCAGACAGTTTCTGTGTTTGCTTCCCCAACATTTTGCAAGTTATATCCCAATTCCTAAATGCCTCCAGCACTGATTGAACCCAGGCAAGGGAGACTCTTACCATGCATCTGTACTTGCTGACATTCTGCTGCAAAGCAGTCAGTAGGAAGCTGAAGATCTTCTCCATGTTCTGAGTGAGGGTTTGCTGGATGTCTCGTCGCCGCTGGGTAGGCAGAGTTTGAAAAGTCACCACATCCTCTGCCAAACGTAGGAGGATGAACATGACCAGTTCTGTCTGAGTTTCCTGATGTCCCAAAATGAAATACGCTCCATCAGCACAGTCCAAACATTAAAATCTCTACAGGACAGCTCAAAGGTGCAGAGAGAAAGCAAGTGTGCACAAGGATACAAGGCACACTGTGGGCAAGCAAGGCAAGAGGATGGCCCTCTCTCTGCTACAATCACCTCCCAAAACAGAGTACCTTACAGGGGTTTTTGAATCTATCATCAGCCTGTCTCACCTGACCACGAGTGAGTCAGGCTTTCCTCAGGATAATGGAAGACTGAACCCCATACTATGAGTAAGCAAAAGAGATCAGACAGCTGTGTTTCTTACCCCTTGCTTGGAGAGAGTATCCAGCTCCTTTAGCATGTCAGGCCAGTGCTGAGGCCACTCACGCTTGATCATCTCCACCACAATGCGAGACAGAACATCCTTAATGTGACTTTCCTCCTCCAGAATACTTTGAGTTCCCTGTGACAGAAAGGAGGCAGAGTTATACAAAACAGCAAACATCAGGCACTCATCATTCTGACCTGGGAAGCACAAGTGTTTGTAAAGATCCTAAACCACAGGAACCAAAACGAACAAAACACAACATTGGGCAGCTCTTCATTGCTGTTGCCCCAGATGACACTCCTATGCTCTGAATCACCCATAGCTGTGGAACACTGGGAACCAGAAGGATTTTCCTCAAGAGAAGATCACTTGGTCACAAGAGCAATCATAACAATAGAGAAAACACGACTCAGATAACAACTTTAGCATTCTTGCAAAGGATAAGAACATTCACAGTTACTGAATTTCCTCCCAGGAAAAGAACAAGTACCTGACATATGTTTTACAAGCCTCACAATCTCCTGCTACGTGAGGTGACATGGTTATTCGCCTGACAAGACACAGAAAAGCACTGGGAACACCCAGCAAAAAAGCAATGAAACGCAGAATTGAATTCAGGTACTCTATGCTAATCTACTGGAGTCTCTTCTCCTTTCACTCTCACGTTCTACCTCGAAGTGAGATAATCTCATCTCAAAGAGCAGCCTGGGGTAGAAGGTACTTACACTGGATATGAGGCCCATAACATTGTTCTTCAGATAAACTTTTTCTAGGCGAGGCATATTGTTCCACCGGTACCTGTTAAACACAAACCACATCAAGTCACAACATCTCTAAGGATCTCTGACCCGATCCTCAATGAGCCATCACTTCCTCACCTCAATTAGAGACACCACAGCTCCCTGCCCCTGCCTGCACCCAACCCCTTAATGAAAAGGCTGAGTTACAAGTGCTGCTGGCGAGGTCAACACAGAAGCAGCAGCAAAAGCACAAAGCACCAGGTCTGTAGAGGCGGCAGAGAGAGGAATCTCAGAACTGAACTAATACAAAGCCTTTTTGTTAGCATAAGGCTAACGACACGGAACGCTGCAAGGACCCACTGGCAACCCAGAGTGCTTATTTACATCTTATGTGTCAACATGTCGTACAGCTCAGTGAGTTAACCTTCCCAACCTGCCCGAAAGCCCATCTCTCCTCTCTTCTTTTACAGAGGAGGAAAGAAACACAGAGCAGGACAGCAGCTGTCCCGTGGGGCAGAACAGCCTCTCTGGGTCCACAAAGTGCCTCCCGTGCGCGAGAGGCGCCG